TATATTATTACGAATACTGTAACTTCATTATTTTTGCTAAAAAAATAGTTGCCTAATTTGCTCAAAATTGGAAAAGTGCTCTCGTATAGTCACAGTCTAAACAACATTTGCAAATAATTCTGTGCGACATTTTCACTTATACTGTGCTTGGCTTGGCGGTATTTTCACATTTTTCAATAGTGTTCTCACAAAATTGGAATGGAAAAGTACTAGTACAAACAGTCTAAACGCACTTGGGTAAACATTTGTACCAGAGTGGCGCTTAGACTGTGCTTAGTCTGGGTCATTTCTTGAATTTTTGAAAAGAGTGAAATGTGAAAATGCCGCCAAGCTAAGCACAGTATAAGTGAAAATGTAGCACAGAATTATTTGCAAATGCGTTTAGACTGTGACTGTACGGGACCGATTTTCAATTTTGTTTAAATTAGGCAACTATTTTTTTTTTTTTGAAATCGAATTCGAAATTAATTTGCTCGTCAGTAGAGTTCTTTTTAAATTTGTTTTTCTCAATTTGCTCGTCAGTAGAGTTCTTTTTATCATTTATTAATACTTTATTTGATAGTAAGTAGAGTTCTTTAGCATTTTTTTTAATTTGCTCATCAGTAGAGTTCTTTTTAATTTTATTTCCCAAATTTGCTTGTCAGTAGAGTCCCTTTTTAAATTTGTTTTTTATAATTTGCTCGTCAGTAGAGTTCTTTTTAAATATATATTTAAAAGTCAGTAGAGTCCTTTCTTAGATTTAGTTTGTCAAATCGTCAGTAGAATTCTTTTACATTTATTTATAAATTTGCTCGTCAGTAGAGTTCTTTTTAACGTTGTTTTTCTTAATTTGCTCATCAGTAGAGTTCTTTTTAACGTTGTTTTTCTTAATTTGCTCGTCAGTAGAATTCTTATTAAAACGATATTTTATTACTTTTTGCTTATTTAGATCGTCAGTAGAATTCCTTTTATAATAAGATTTCTAATTTGCTCGTCAGCAGGGCTTTTTTACTTTTTCCCAATTTGCTCGTCGGTAGAATTTTTATTTTCTAAAATTGTATTAGGAAATATTAGTATATAAACAAAAAAAGGACTCTACTGACAATCAAACAAAGTAGTAATAATCCTTGAGAAGAAAAAAAAGCGACACTACTGATGAGCAAACTTTAATTTCGTACTACAATATTAAAAAAGGGACTCTACTAACAAGCAATAAAAACAATGATTTGAAAATACGAAAAAAGTTTTGTTTCTGACATTATTTAATATGAATTTACTATGTCTAATATTATTAAATAATTATTAATAATTAAATAATATTAAATTGGAACGTTCAGGCAACTTGCCTTGAGGTTAAAAACCACTTAGTTCATGATAAAACTATTCATATACATTTGTACTAAAAATATTTCACTAACGCTTACCATGCGTACCCAAACCTAAGAAAAAATGTATGGGAAAGCGTCGTGTTAGGCTCGGCCGACACGACAAGCGCTCATAAAATTTAAAACATTAATATAAGGGCAAAATTTTGTCACATCAAATATGGCATGTGGGGTATCAAATGAAAGGTTTCGACGAGCACTTTACGAATATCATAGTTATAGACTGAAAAAACCAATAGGGTTCCGTACACTATACATTCAATAAAATTACAATGACATAATTTTAACTTTCTTTTGCGTTATTAAAGCTGTACGACTTATGATGTTAGGTAGATGAAATATTTTTGAACAAATCTCTCTAATATGTTATTGATATTGGACGGCCGGTTTGAAAGTTACAAGAACTTTAATAAATAAATGAATGAATATAGTACGAACCGCGTCGTACTATATACAGTACAGTGGGTCAAAATGTTCCAAATAGTAAAAATGCATGTTGGGTATCAAATGAAAGGTCTCGGCGAGCACTATCTAAAAATCATACTCAAAATGCTGTAGAATACAATAGAATTCCTTACAAAGCATGTATTTAATTTATAATTTTAAATTTATACAATTTTTGTGTACACCAAGTTATTATAGTGTTACAAATCATAACATATTGTAGATAATTTATATTAGTACAAATTTTTCGAATGTTGCGTTCAATTTGGACAAACGGTTCAAAAGTTACCAGAGATATTATAAAAAGTAGACCAATGGGTTGCAGAAAACTTTAGTAGATCAAATATAGGCATGTGGAGTATCAAACAAAAGGTCTCAACAAGCGCAATTTAAAAATCATACTCAAAGATCTTACAAAGCACCAGAGTTCCGTACAATACAATATTTACTTCTTACCTGCCACAAAATAATGTCCTCAGCGTCTTGTCCTTCAGCTAAATACTCTAAAACGTCTCCACAATAATAAATAAAACAATATAACAATGGCAAGTAACCCAGCACGACTATTCCTATCATGTATCGTTGCATCAGGGCTACTCGGTTTCTTCTGGCTGCTGTCAGACCAACAAAAGATAGGACGACTGATAGGCACCAGATGTATTCCCACCATAAAGGCTGGAAAAAGAACACGTTGAATCTTAACTAACTTTTTCTTTAAAAATCATTATAAGTTCATAATTATTTTTTACCGTTGGAATTTCTAATTCCTCGATTTCTAATATAAAAATATCCAGTCTGTCCAAGATGTCTGCGGAAAGCTTTGCAAGCATCGCAAAGAAGAGTAGATAGTGGAAAAATATACAATATTTCAATCTAGATTTATTCAGAGCACTGAAATAAAACAAATACTTTAAAATAATATATTCAACATAAAACATGTATCTAACACAACTTATTATTAGTGCCTCAAACTGAGTATTTAGTTTATGAAACAAACAAACCACAATTTAACAACCAAACCCAATCCTTTCTACCTAAATATATCATTTTTAATTTGAGGTTAGAATTTTTTTATTATTACCTTATCTGATATTGTGCAGCAACGCGTTGCCTGTGTAAAAAATCCGTCCCATCAGTCCCCAAGACCATGGGGCCCCCTTTAGAGGCCATTTTCGACTTCCAAATTCACTAAAATAAATAAATAAATCTATAAATCCAATTCGAACATATTGTATAAGATTATTCTTGGACAAGAGCTAATGTCAGCGTGTCAGCATGTGACGTTTGCTGTTGTCAAATATAGATTGAAATTAAAATATTAAAATAATGAATTAAATTATTTGTTTTGTGTTTAGAAGACATTGTAATTGAGATTGTTGGTGGGAATTGTTTTAAATTGTTTAAAATTTGTTGATAAATTTTAATTTTGTGCAAATGTGTCAACATGGCGTCAACTGTCAATTCTTAATTCTCCGTGGTACGTGACAAATGAGACCATTCACAGCGACCTCAATATGAAAACGGTGCAATTAACGTTTAAAGAAGTTAAAGAAAAATATAAGCGCAAACTGGACTCACATTTGAATCCTTCTATAGTTGACGTTACTCAACCTTTTGGCATTAGGAGGTTGAAACGACAATGGCCCCTAGACTTAGTCTTAGATTAGGTCTAATATATCATACTAATTGTAAAACTGAGAAGTTCTCATTGGAGTTCTTCTTAGGCATCACTCATAAATTTTGTCATTTTAGCTCATAGGAATCTTTATGTATTCTGATTGCTAAATAAAACTGAGTTCAAAAAAAAAAAAAAAAAAAAAAAAAAAAAAAACTGTCAAATGAAAACTGTCATGTCTCAACTGTTTAATAGTAATTAAAATACATACATAATAAATATAATAATTAATTTTATATTCAGAAGACATTTTCATGAATATGTTGTTTAGAATTGTATCAAATTAGATTAAAAGTGCTAAAATTTTGTTTATATTGTGTCAACCAAGATAGTGTCAAATGTCAAAAGAAAACTGTCAAGTTTTAACTGTTTTATTGTAATTAAAATACGATTTATACCGATAATGGCAATAAAAAAACGATTTTAATAAAATTATAATAAATTTTGTTAATATAAATTGTATTAAATTGGATTAAAAGTGTTGAAATTTTTATTTTGTTAAAATGTGTCTGTATGGCTTCAACTGTCAACTGAAAACTGTCAAGTCTCAACTGTTATATTTTGTTTAAAATACAATTTATGTAAATAATGGAGATAAAAGATCGATTTAAATAATATTATAACAAACTTTGTTAATGTAAATTGTATTTAATCAAATAAAAGTGTTGAAATTTCTATTTTGTTAAAATGTGTCAATATAAAAAATAACAATAAAATGCGGCAACTGTCAATTAAAAACTGTCATGTCTCAACTGTTTTATTATAATTAAAATACAATTTATGTTAATAATGGAGATAAAAGATCGATTTAAATAATATTATAACAAGCTTTGTTAATGTAAATTGTATTTAATCAAATAAAAGTGTTGAAATTTCAATTTTGTTAAAATGTGTCAACATGGCGGCAACTGTCAATTAAAAACTGTCATGTCTCAACTGTTTTATTATAATTAAAACACAATTTATGATAATAATAGAAATAAAAGAGATTTTTGAATAAAATTATAATATTAAATATAAATAAAAATTGTTTTGAATTGTATTAAAAGTTGAAATTTTAATTTTGTTAGTTAAGTGTCAAAATGGCGTCAACGGTCAACTATCAACTGTCAATTAAGAGGTTATTTGCTTGCAGAAAATTTGTTTCAGTGTAAATTATTAAAAAACTATGACATATTTATTTAAATATCATTTACTTAGTGTGAAATAATAATAAAGTATGTGTAAATGTATATAAATTGTATAAAATGTGTAAAGTTTTCTACAAATGTGACTGTCAACAGTTTGCAGGTTATTTATTTTGATAGTAAGTTATATATATATATATATATATATATATATATATATATATATATATATATATATATATATATATATATATATATATATAATATATATATATTTAAGTTTAAATAAGTTACAATGAACAATTATATTACAAAATTTCAGTAACGACACATATAGTTTTACTAGAAAATTATATTTATTACAAAAACTAACCTATAAATAGTAAAAATGTTCTTTGTTTATTGCTGAAAATATCTTCTTGCATAATTATTCCTAACCGACACATCTTCTACACCATCAAATGCATCTAAAAAAAAAGACTTGATTTATTACAACTGCATATTTACAAGCAAATTATTGCAATCTAACCATCTGCATTATCATCTTCTTCAAGAACACAATCGATAGGATCGTCATGCTCTCTGCAAATATTATGCAGAGTAAAAACTGCATAGACGATTTTGCCTGCAACATCTGGTGTGTAATGCAAAATTTTTTGAGGATGCAGACACCGAAAACGATTTTTAATAGCACCCAAAGTCCTGTCCATCACTTGTCTTGTTTTTTGAAGGCATTTGTTGTAGTTCTCCTCGGTGGGGTTTTTCGGTGTCCTGTAAGGTGTGAGTAGATACTTTTCTGATGGGTAACTGGAGTCTCCTGTAAAAAAGTTAATGTTTTTGTTGTATGTGTTGTATTAAATATGTTTACTACAATTACCTATTATATAAGTCTCGTCTTCAGCATTTTTGTGTAGTAGGGCTCGAATAGGTGATTTTTGCCAAATGGCAGCATCACTCGCAGAGCCACCATATGTGGTGCTTGCAAATATCACCCTTTCATCGGCATCACATATCTGGAAATAGAAATATTAATTTACCCGTCACAAAAATTTGTAAAAATCAAGTATTTATTGAACATAATAAATTAAATGACATCATCAGTATAGTCCAAAGTCTATTTGGGTTTGATTTGCTCGTCAGTACAGTCCTTTTTCTTAGGTTTTTGATATATTTTATAATTTTTTTCTCAAAATTTTGATTAAGGTTGGTCGTCAGTAGAGTCCGTTTTTTCATTTTAAAGTCCATCAAAATTTAATTTGCTCGGCAGAAGAGTCCTTTTTTCATTTTAAAGCCGTTCAAAATTTAATTTGCTTGTCAGTAGAGTCCTTTTTTCATTTTAAAACCCATCAAAACTTAATTTGCTCGTCAGTAGAGTCCTTTTTTCATTTTAAAACCCATCAAAATTTATTTTGCTCGTCAGTAGAGTCCCTTTTTTATTTTAAAATCCATCAAAATTTAATTTGTTTGTCAGTAGAGTCCTTTTTTATTTTAAAATCCATCAAAATTTAATTTGCTTGTCAGTAGAGTCCCTTTGTCAATAATACTCTTTAATACAATAATTTACCAGTTTTGTTTTTGAAAATCTAGATTGAATTTGTTTGTCAGTAGAGTTTTTTTTATTTTTTTATATCGATGGTTAATTTCCTTGTAAGTAGAGTTCTTTTTTATAAATGATTTCTAAAAGATTTCAATTCGCTTGTCAGTAGAGTCCCTTTTTAATAATACTTATCAATGTGACATTTTATCAATTTTATTCTCAAAATCTAGATCCTGATTGCTCATCAGTAGAGTCCCTTTTCTATATAATATTTTACAAATTTTGTAAATAAAATCTAGATTTAGGATGCTCGTCAGTAGAGTTCTCTTTTTAATCTAATATTGTACCAATTTTATCTAAATAAATAATTCTTGTTTGATCGTCGGTCAAGTCAATTTTTATTTGATTTGCTTGTCAGTAGAGTCCCTTTTTAAATATAACATTTTAGCTATTTTTTCAAAATCTAAATTAAGTTTGCTCGTCAGTAGAGTTCTTTTTTATAAATAAGTTCTGATAAATTCTGCTTTGCTCGTCAGTAGGGTCCTTGTCTGATTACTGTTCCAGATATTTTATTTGCTTGTCAGTAGAGTCCTTTTTATAATTTAGAATTAGTCAGCAGAGTCCCTTTTTAATTATACTTTCCAAAATAACATTTTACAAATTTTGAAATCAAAATCTAGATTTATTTGCTCGTCAGTTGAGTTGTTAATTTAATCATTTAATTTGCTCATCAGTAGAGTCCATTTTATAAAATAACCCTAAATCTAAATTAATTTTGCTCGTCAGTAGAGTCTCTTTTCTCTAATATGACATTCTACTAATACTTCATTTGCGGTTTTGCTCGCCAGTAGAATCCCTTTTTTTAAAAAAAGATTTTTAATAAAAAGTTATAGCAATCGCAAAAAAATCGAAAATGAAAATTTTTATATATCTTTATGTTTCAGAGGTTTCTGAACATTTTGGCATACCTTAGAAAAAATGGATGTGTGTGTGTGTGTGTGTGTGTGTATGTGTGTGTATGTATGTGCGGATACAAATTTTCGTCGACGATTTCGGGAACACGGATCAACCGATTTGAATAATTCAAAAAACATTCGATTTATTTTGATAAGTAGACGTGCTGATTAGTTTTTGGCGAAGGCAGGTCTAGCCGTTCCGAAGATACAGGGCAAAAAGTGCCGAAAACGTTAACTCAGTTTTTAAGAGAACGGAGCGTCCGATTTGAATAATTCAAAAAACATTTTACTTGTATTGACAAGATGAAGAATTGATCAAATTTTCATGAGGGCAGGCCTAGCGGTTTCGAAGATCTAACAAAAAAAGTAAAAAAAAATGCCATTTGGCGGTCAAAAATTATCATTAGACATATGCACATCAAATTATCAGATATTTTATAGAGATTTTAACAATAAGTATACATTTTGTTTACATTCCTATGGGTTCCGTACCAATGTTTATCCGTTAGACGCCGACGCGGCGCTTACGCGCCTCGATATTTCGTCTCCATGCAGTTAAAGCAGTACGATTGATTTGAAAAAAAGTTTAGATCTTCCAAAATATTTCAAAATAAATGATTTAAGATAGAATGATTTAATATGGTTCGAAATTCTATTAAAAGTTTCAAATCATTGATCAACTTTTGTTGATTATTTTTAATTACTCGAATTTTGAATTGCGGTACGGGAAGTTCCAGCAATTTGCCTTAAGGCACAATGCCTTAATTGCTTTGAGACAGAATTCCACTTACAGCTAGTTATGAATTGTATTCTAGAAACTCAGAATAAAAGTTTGCTCGATAGTAGACTTCCCTCTCTTCGGTTACACAACAATAATAATCTTCTATATATATAAAAATAAGTCGGGTTTTCCTTCCTGACGAAATAACTCTAGAACGCACGAACCGATTTCGACAATTTTTCGACACCGGAAAAGTCTCGGGCTCCGCAAGGTTTATAGCTAAGAAAATTAGTGGTGCATGGCATCGTGCCCTAATGTATATTGCTGGAACTTCACGCACCGCAATTAAAAATTCGAGTAATAAAAATAATCAATAATTGTTTTAAATAATTGCAAATACATTATCTTCTATATATATAAAAATAAGTCGGGTTTTCCTTCCTGATCAAAATTTTCCTTTTCAAATATAAAATAAACAAAAAATTTCTTCATCTTTCTCACGAAACCATCTGGTGGCGAAACGGAGTTCGTCGGGTTTGCTAGTTTATAATATAAATAAAATAGTAATAATACTTTTTAATATCAAATATTATTTATTACTGTTACTTACCACTTCGACATTGAGCGAATAAGAACCCTTCTTGTTCAAGAAAAGAACTGCCGGATTCTCGGGGTGATCCTTCTGGGGGACTGTTATATTTATATGAGTACAATCTAGGCACCCGATAATGCCAGACATGCCGTACTTGTTATAAAACCTGTTTTAAATAGAAACATTAATTAAACTAGTAGTGTATGGCATCGTGCCTTAAGGCAAATTGCTAGAACTTCCCGTACCGTAACAAAATATTCGAGAAATATTAAATGTTTTCAAATAGATTATTACAAATACTCTTACTTTCATAATTAAATCAATTCATCTCCAGAGCATTAACAATCGTCATTTCATTTCGAATTCAATTTAAAAAAAAAATAGTTGCCTAATTTGCAAAAAATTGAAAAAGTGCTCCAGTATAGTCACAGTCTAAACGCATTTGCAAATAATTCTGTACGACATTTTCACTTATACTGCGCTTGGCTTGGCGGCATTTCACATGTTTCCATAGTTTATTTATTATTATTGGTTACGGATTGCTTGTGAATAAATAAATAAATAAATGTCATTTTTAAGTAAAAATTACGCAAATTAATCAAGCTAAGCACAGTCTCAGTGACAACTTATTACAAATGTTTTCAGGAGTGCGTTTAGATTGTTACTTCACGGGAGCACTTTTCAAATTTTATGTAAATTATAGAAATGTATATATGAGTTTTAAAATGACCGATACTAGGCACAGTATAAGTGACAACGCGGTACAAATGTTTTCATGACTGCGTTTAGAATGTGACTGTACGGGTGCACTTTTCTAATTTTGAGAAAATTATTGAAAAAAATGAAAAATGAGGCAGTCTAAGCACAGTCTAAGTGACAACCTGGTACAAATTTATTTGGAAGGGTGTTTAGATTGTTACGGTTCTGAAGCAACTTTCAAGTTTTATGTAAATAATTTATAAAAATTACATTTTGAGTTAAAATTCGAGAAATGACCCATACTCGGCACAGTCTAAGTGACAACGCGGTACAAATGCTTTAATGAGTGCGTTTAGAATGTGACTGTACGGGTGCACTTTTCCAATTTTGAGAAAATTATTGAAAAAAAAAGAAAAATAAGGCAGTCTAAGCACAGTCTAAGTGACAACCCGGTACAAATATATTTGCGGGTGCGTTTAGACTGTTACTGTACTGGAGCAATTTTCAAATTTTATATAAATTATTATAGAAATGCCATTTTTTTTAGTTTAAAAAAATCGAAAAATGATCCAAACTAGGCACAGTCTAAGTGACAACCTGGTATAAATTTATTTGGAAGGAAGTTTAGATTGTTACGGTACTGGAGCAATTTTCAAATTTTATGCAAATTATTTATAAAAATTGCATTTTGAGTTAGAAAATAGAACTAGTGGTGTACGGCATCGTGCCTTAAGGCAAATTGCTGGAACTTCCTGTACTGTAATGAAATATTCGAGAAATTTTAAACGTTTTCAAATATATTATTACAAATATTGTGATTGTTTCATTATTTTTCCTATCTTGTTTGTTATATCCGAAAAAGTGCTCCCGTACAGTCACAGTCTAAACGCATTTGCAAATAATTCTGTGCGACATTTTCACTTGTACTGTGCTTAGCTTGGCGGCATTTTTACATTTTCAATAGTTTTCGTTTTCACAAAATTGGAAAAGTGCTCCAGGTACATAAACAGTCTAAACGCACTTGGCTAAACATTTGTACCAGAGTGGCGCTTAGACTGTGCTTAGCCTGGCTAATTTTTTGAGTTTTTAACCCGAAAATTTCAAAACAAGCCTAGAAAGTAAAAATGAGGACTCTACTGAAGAGCAAATTAAATATTAAGAGAATAAATTAGAAATGGGACTCTACTGACGACCAAATAAATAGAAATTGGAAAAATGAAAATGAGACCCTACTGACAAACAAACTAAATTACAGCATGAAAAAAGGACTCTACTGACGAGCAAATAGAATATTAAAATAAATTAGAAAAGGGACTTTTCTGACGAGCCAATTTAATATCTTGATGAGAAATTAGAGAAGGGACTCTATTGACAAGCACATATAATCTAAATATACTTTAAAATATGAAAAGGACTCTACTGACGAGCAAATTAAATCTGAAGAAATTTTGAAATTAAAAAATAGGACTCTACTGATGAGCAAATTAAATAAATTATTGAAAAAGGATTTTACGATTTTATTTTTAAGTCAGTAAAAAAAGGATTTTACTGACAAGTAAACTAAATATCGATCTGTATAATTAAAAGAGACTCTACTGACGTACAAATTAAATATCTAGATTTTGAGAATATTTTTTTAATAAAAAGTATTATAAAAGGGACTCTACTGACGAGCAAATTCATATTTAGAGAGAAAATTAAAAAAGGACTCTACTGGCAAGTAAATTTAAATTTATTAGACATTGTTTATAAAAGAGGATTCTACTGACGAGCATATTGAAACCTGTTAAAAATCATTTATAAAAAAAAACTCTACTTACAAGGAAATTAACCATCGATATAAAAAAATAAAAGAAACTCTACTGACAAACAAATTCAATCTAGATTTTCAAAAACAAAACTGGTAAATTATTAAAAAGTATTATTGACAAAGGGACTCTACTGACAGGCAAATTGAATAAAGATAACTTTAACATAAAAAAGGGACTCTATTGACACACAAAAAAGGACTTTAACATGAAAAAAGGACTCTACTGACGAGCAAATTAAATTTTGATGCAGTTTAAAATGAAAAAAGGACTCTACTGGCGAGCAAATTAAATTTCGATGGACTTTAAAATGAAAAAAAGACTCTACTGACGAGCAAAATATATATTGATGTGGAAAATTAGAAGAAACTCTCCTGATGAGCAAACTTTTGAGAATAAAATTTGTAAAATATATAAAAAAACCTCACAAAGGGACTCTACTGACAAGCAAATCAAATCTAAATACACTTCGGACTCTACTGTTAAATGTTAAATCAATTAATTAATTATGTTTTATTACTTACTGCTTCTTAGTTTCCATTTTCTGCATCGTCGTCATGGGAAAACTAATATACTTGGGTGCAACATGTTTTAGAATCAAATCAGTAACTGTTTTTATACAACGACTGACCGAAGACTGACTCATGTTATTCAAATAGGAACTTCCAACAGCCGATTGAAAACAACCGTGACCGAAGAAATTTAATGCTGCAAGCACCTGCAACACAAAATTTATAATTAACATTCCCAAATACATAATTTTATTTATAATTACAATACCTGTAGGTGAAACGGGATAGCCCATCTTGCCCTGGACTCTACGTGTGGTTGTAATTGTTGTATTAGACTCTTGACCGACTGTTTCGATAAACGAAAGTGTTTGATAAATAGTTCATCGCTTATGTGCCACACGTCGTTTGAGTCTGTGAGGTACCTTCTGTGGGCGTACCTTTCTCTGTATCTAAAATTGTAAGAAATAAATTTGAGAAATACATTTATTTGGTGTATTATGTTGACGTACGAGTGTACCTTTTGCTTCTGCTATTTAGGGCTAAAATTACTCCAAGGAATGCCATTGTAACAAAATTGCTATTACATTGTTAATGAACATACAAACTTTTAACCTAACCTAACTTACTAATATTTATCTATTCAATTTTAGTATTTTTAACTGATCACACTGAAGATCTATAATTACACTACAATTACTAAAACAATCATACTTCGTTTACATAAGTATAACAATTAAATTCTTCATTTTTAACTTAAAAACAAATTAAATTGATATTTTGACAGTTTTCAGCTCCATATTGTAAACATTGTGACAGGTAGGGTGACAGGTCACATTCGTCTCCATTTTCATCCCAAATTTTAATATATAATTAACAAATTACTTACTAATAACACTAAACATTTAAAATTATATTAAAAATCAACATTTGTTAAACAATTATCCTTTATTTCTATATTTATAACAATTACACTTGACAGTTTTCAGTTTCAGTCAAATTGCCATCATTTACCATCTGGCAACACTTTGCATATGGAGTTGAGGAAATTTTATTTTTCAGTTTTTTGGCGCGATTGATTTGCAAGTGACAGCAACAAGTGTAAATTAATAAATGGAAGTATAAATAATTTAAACAGTGGATATTATCAAATAATTGAAGAAGGAACAGCGTATACGGAATTTGTTTTGTAAAAACCGAGGCAAGAGGAATAGATACATTAGATACATTTCTACAAGGAGTCACCAAGTAAGGTTTTTTTTTTATTTGCATAGTTTTATTGTCAATCAAAATGATATACATTACTAAGTAAGGTTAAGATTATAAAATGAATGATGATACGAAACACCCAACACTTTGTAGTTGTCTTCGGTGTTTAGAATTATCAGTAAGTTTAATATTTAGAGTCTAAATATAATAATTCTTGACGCTGTCTTATTTTTGCTTGTCAGTAGAGTCCCTTTTGTGAGTTTTTTTTATATATTTTACAAATTTTATTCTCAAAATTTTGATTAGTAGAGTTTCTTCTAATTTTCTACATCAATATCTAGTTTGCTTGCTAGTAGAGTCCTTTTTTTTATTTTAAAGCCCATCAAAATTTAATTTGCTCGTCAGTAGAGTCCTTTTTTCATTTTTTGTTTTATTTATATTTAATTTGCTTGTCAGTAGAGTCCTTTTTTAATTTTTTGTTTTATTTAAATTTAATTTGCTCGTCAGTAGAGTTGTTTTTTAATTTTAAACTACATCAAAATTTAATTTGCTCGTCAGTAGAGTCCTTTTTTATTTTTTATTTTATTTAAATTTGATTTGCTCGTCAGTAGAGTCCTTTTTTTAATTTTAAACTACATCAAAATTTAATTTGCTCGTCAGTAGAGTCTTTTTTTTAATTTTAAACTGCATCAAAATTTAATTTGCTCGTCAGTAGAGTCCTTTTTTAAATTTTAAAGCCCATCAAAATTTAATTTGCTCGTCAGTAGAGTCCTTTTTTAAATTTTAAAGTCCATCAAAATTTATTTTGCTCGTCAGTAGAGTCCTTTTTTCATTTTAAAGCCCATCAAAATTTAATTTGCTTGTCAGTAGAGTCCTTTTTTCATTTTAAAGCCCATCAAAATTTAATTTGCTTGTCAGTAGAGTCCTTTTTTAAATTTTAAAGTCCATCAAAATTTAATTTGCTCGTCAGTAGAGTCCTTTTTTCATTTTAAAGCCCATTTATATTTAATTTGCTCGTCAGTATAGTCCTTTTTTTCATTTTAAAGGCTACCAAAATTTAATTTGCTCGTCAGTAGAGTCCTTTTTTATTTTTTATTTTATTTAAATTTAATTTGCTTATCAGTAGAGTCCTTTTTTAATTTTTTGTTTTATTTAAATTTAATTTGCTCGTCAGTAGAGTCCTTTTTTTATTTTAAAGGCTACCAAAATTTAATTTGCTCGTCAGTAGAGTCCTATTTTTATTTTTTATTTTATTTAAATTTAATTTGCTTGTTAGTAGAGTCCTTTTTTCAATTTTAAAGTCCATTTATATTTAATTTGCTCGTCAGTAGAGTCTCTTTTTCATTTTAAAGTCCATTTATATTTAATTTGCTTGTCAGTAAAGTCCTTTTTTTATTTTTTATTTTATTTAAATTTAATTTGCTTATCAGTAGAGTCCTTTTTTTATTTTTTGTTTTATTTAAATTTATTTTGCTTGTCAGTAGAGTCCTATTTTTATTTTTTATTATATTTAAATTTAATTTGCTTATCAGTAGAGTCCTTTTTTCATTTTAAACTGCATCAAAATTTAATTTGCTTTTCAGTAGAGTCCTTCTTTATTTTTTATTTTATTTAAATTTAATTTGCTTATCAGTAAAGTCCTTTTTTCATTTTTTGTTTAAATTTATTTCATTTTATTTAAATTTATTTTGCTTGTCAGTAGAGTCCCTTTTTATAAATAATTTCTAACAGGTTTCAATTTGCTTGTCAGTAGAGTCTCGTTTTTAATAACACTTTTCAATATAACATTTTATCAATTTTATTCTTAAAATCTAGATCCTGATTGCTCGTCAGTAGAGTCCCTTTTCAATATAATATTTCACAAATTTTGTAAATAAAATCTAGATTTAATATGCTCGTCAGTAGAGTTCTCTTTTATAAATAATATTTAATAAATTTTAATTTGTTTGTCAGTAGAGTCCTTTTCTAATTTTCTCTCTAAATATCAATTTGCTCATCAGTAGAATCCTTTCTTTGAGAAATTCAATTGCTCGTCAGTAGAGTCCCTTTTATAATACTTTTTATAAAAAAATTTATTCTCAAAATCTAGATTTTTAATTTGCTTGTCAGTAGAGTCCCTTTGAATTATCCAGATCGATGTTTAGTTTAATTGTCAGTAGAGTCCTTTTTTTACTAAAGTAGATAATAATTATTATTATAGAAAAAATTATAATTAATTTATTCAGTTTGCTCGTCAGTAGAGTCCTTTTTTTTTCATTTCAAAATCTCTTCAGATTTAATTTGCTTGTCAGTAGAGTCTCTTTTTTAATAATACTCTTTAATATAACTTTATAATATTTTATCAATTTTATTGCCAAAATTTGTATTTAATTTGCTTGTCAGTAGAGTCTTTTTTTTAATTTTAAAGTCCATTTATATTGAATTTGCTCATCAGTAGAGTCTCTTTTTTTAATAATACTCTTTAATATAACTTTATAATATTTTATCAATTTTATTGTCAAAATTTAGAATTAATTTGCTTGTCAGTAGAGTCCCTTTTAATTATCCAGATCGATATTTAGTTTACTTGCCAGTAGAGTCCTTTATCGCATTTCAGATTACATTTTTTTCATTTTAAAGATGTATATTTTGTTTGCTCTGTTATTGATATCCCAGTTTAAAAATTTATACCAGCTGTACTATATATAGTTAAGGGCTGAAATTTTAATATGTTTTTGCTAAAAGTATATACTATAAGGGTACATAGTTAATTTTTTGTGTTTTGGAAGAAATTATTAAATTTTTTGACATTTTTCCAAAATTTTGTCACCATATGAAATCACTTGCAAATAAAATATTTTTGTCTTTAACAATTTATACCGCCTGTACTATATATAGTTAAGGGCTGAAATTTTAATATGTTTTTGCTCAAAGTATATACTATAAGGGTATATAGTTAATTTTTTGTGTTTTGGAAGAATTTACTAAATTTTTTGACTTTTTTCTAAAATTTTGTCCGCCAATGGATTCACTTGCAAATAAAATATTCTCGTTTTTAAACATTTCTATCGGCTGTACTATATGTACTTAAGGGCTGAAATTTTAGTATTTTATTCTTAAAAGTAGAGTTATTTTTTTCACTAAAATAGGTAATAATAATTATTATAGAATAAATTATAATTAATTTATTAATAATATTAACTAGTTTAATCGATAGTAGAGTCCTTCTCATTTCAAAATCACTTCAGATTTAATTTGCTCGTCAGTAGAGTCTCTTTTTTTATTTCAAAGTCAATTTATATTTATTTTGCTTGTCAGTAGAGTCCCTTTTAATTATCCAGATCGACATTTAGTTTGTCAGTAAAGTCCTTTTTTTACTAAAGTAGATGTTAATAATTATTATAGAATAAATTATAATTAATTTATTCAGTTTTCTCGTCAGTAGAGTCCTTTTTTAATGTCAAAATCTCTTCAGATTTAATTTTTTAATATTTCAAAGTCGATCTATATTCAATTTGCTTATCAGTAGAGTCCTTTTTTTCATTTTAAAGTTCATTTATATTGAATTTGTTTGTCAGTAGAGTCTCTTTTTTAATAATACTCTTTAATATAACTTTATCAATTTTATTCTCAAAATCTAGAATTAATTTGCTCGTCAGTCGAGTCCCTTTTTTAATCTAATATTTTACCAATTTTATTTAAATAAATAATTCTTGTTTGATCGTCAGTCAAGTCAATCTATATTTAATTTGCTTGTCAGTAGAGTCCCTTTTTAGATATAACATTTTAGCTATTTTTTCAAAATCTAAATTAAGTTTGCTCGTCAGTAGAGTTCTTTTTTATAAATAAGTTCTAATAAATTCTGATTTCCTCGTCAGTAGGGTCCTTTTCTGATTATAGTTCCAGATATTTGATTTGCTTGCCAGTAGAGTCCTTTTTATATTTTAAAATTAGTCAGCAGAGTTCCTTTTTAATTATACTTTCCAAAATAACATTTTACAAATTTTGAAATCAAAATCTAGATTTATTTGCTCGTCAGTTGAGTTGTTAATTTAATCATTTAATTTGCTCCTCAGGAGAGTCCTTTTTTTAAAATGACTCTAAATCTAAATTAATTTTGTTTGTCAGTAGAGTCCCTTTTTAAATATAACATTTTAGCTATTTTTTCAAAATCTAAATTAAGTTTGATCGTCAGTAGAGTTCTTTTTTATAAATAAGTCCTAATAAATTCTGTATTCTTGTAAGTAATTTTGAATATTCGCGCCAAAGATAGTATTATTTTATTGTAACCAACTTCATGTGGACGCCATGTTTGTTTGATTGACATATTATAAACACATAATATGCTTTTTCGTTATACATTTATTTAAAAAGACATATTTAGGCTATTTATTACTCATAAATACAGTTTGAAGGTATGAAATCTTCTTTCTCATCATTTGATGAAGCAGT